GGATCACTTCATAAATTGTCCTGTTCTGTTCATTCCTTCTGAAGCATCTGGCACTGGCCACTGTCAGAAGATGGAATGCTGGGCTACATGGACCATTGGTCTGACCCAATATGGCTGTTCTTATGATCCAGGCCTCTAGTTCCCCCTGGACAGTTAAATAAAATGCTTCATCTCTCCATCCATTGACATTATATAATCTCACTTTTCTTTCGACACTTGGGCCAGCACTTTCAAAGATGGATGTCAAAAGTTAGGTACCTAAATCCATACTTCTTCTTCAACACTTAGCCGAACGGTTGGCCGTAGCAATTGTTCACCATTGATCTGTTCCTGTGCTTGATGGGCCGAGAGCCCAATGTCGGAATAGACTTGAGGCACCCATGTAATAAGGGGCCTGCCTCTGGGCTGCCTCCACCCCTTGATTGGGGGAGTTTTCTCGGATGTTACGGGCCACTCAAAGAACGGCGTTCGCCGGAACATCTTTTGGCATACTCGCGACATGTCTGAAAAGCATAAGACGCATCTGCGGACAATGGCCCCCACAGTCTGTAGACCGGAGCGACCCTAAACATCCGCAGATGAAGTCATTCCGCTCTATGCCCAATATACAACGTTGGCCTTTTGTGTGGAAAGCCTCCAGCTTGGCCCAGCCTGAGTGGCTCAGTGTCCATGTTTTGTAACCGTACAGCAGTATGGAGAGGATACAGCCCGACTAGATCCTGAACTTGGTTGTCATGCCGAGATGATGGATTCCGTATTCATTGTAAACGAGCCACGGGAGAGGCTGCAGTGCCCCACTTAGGCACCTAAATAAATGGCCTGACCTTCTCTATACCAATAACTTCTCACTCGAATCTGCCAAAGCTGCAGCTGCTCAGCTCCTTTGAAAATCAATCCACTTGTTGAATATTCACTGAATATGAATGTTAGTGCCAGACTTTGGACAGTGACATAGGAAGACGCTGGCCTGAGCCTATACATGTGTAAGCGGGGAATAGTCCTGCTCTTGTGGGGAACTTTCCTGGCTTCTGCACTACCCCGGTGAAGTGGGCTAGCGAAAGGTTCCGAGTCCTCGCTCCCACTTCCTTTACCCAGAGGCCTCCTTGCCCTTGAGGACTCCCCTTCCACTCTCCTGTCTGGCAGAGTCCTCGTCACCCCAACAAGGTTGACCCAGGATTCCTGGGGGGCTCGACCCCCAACCCTGCTGTGGTCACCTAGGACAGGGGCTAAGGTGTCCCCACTCTGGGGTACTCTCTCTGCACTGGGCACTTCTCCGACCCACTGACCATTACATACAAGTTAAAGCAAATGCAAGTTATTTAATCAACAATTAATTTTAAAAAGAATAAGGAAAAATGGGAAAGGTTAAAGGAAACACATCACCCCGCTCTGTGGCAGGGAACATCACAAACAGTGTCTCTGGAACGTCAGGGCAGTTCACAGTCTGTTCCTTGTAAGTCCCAGGCCTCCTGCTCAGGCCCTGGCTTTGCTGCAGGGATGCCGTGGGTTGGACACTCGCTCTGGTGATGGCCACACGCTCTCAGGCTCTAAGCGGTAGGACCCTTCTTCCCAGTGTCTCCCCCGCCCTGTCAGGGTTACGATCCACGCCTAGCCTGCAGAGCCCCTTGGCTGAGGCCTCTCCCTGTGCTGGGCCCGCTGCCCAGGGTCCCCCTCGATCTCCCCAGCTGCTCACCACACCCAGCTCCAGACTGCTCCAGCCCCAGCTGCATCACGCGGTCTCTGCACGGCTGCTGCTGCTCTGCCTCCAGCTCCCTGGGCTGCTTCTTTGGCCGCTCTGGTTGCTGCAGCTTTGCTCCCAGGACAGGTCTGCTCTGCAGGCTGCTTCTGTGACTCTGCTCCCAGCACTGACCTGCTTCCTGGGCTGCTTTTCTGGCCCCTCTGGCTCTGGTTGCTGCAGCTCTGCTCCCAGGGCAAGTCTGCTCTCTCTGAGCTGCTTTTCTGGTCCCTCTGGATCTGGCCCAGCTCTGCTCCCCAGCTCACCTTGGCCCCACTCTGTCTGACCCAGGCAAATCCAGCTCACATGGAGGACGGGACCTCCCTGGCCTCCTGACTCCCTGATTAGCCTGCTCGCCCTGTCATTCAGGCTCACCTGGAGCATTGGCCACTCCCCATTTGTCCTGGCGGTTGTCAGGCTCAGGGTCCTGATTTCCCATCGACCCTTCCCTCTTTTTAGTACTGGGAGCTAGCAACTAAAACACCCCCACTGAATGTTAGTAAGGGGGCAACAGTCCCCTTACACATGGACTCTCACCCTACAATCCAGCCTCTCAACAGACACATCCCAGCTTCTGACTGTGAGCCATTCTGCTACTATTAACAATGTCTAGATGCTATAAGTGAATTAACATGTAATGATAGATAGATGATAGTATAAGCCATTCTTTCTACCATCTGCCATATGGATTTCCTCTGTAGAGCTCTCTGTCCCTGTTACTCATGGGTATTTATGTTCCAGAGCCCCCCATCACTGTGCTGGCCATGAGAGAGGGAAGGATTTCATGCCCAAGCAGGGCAGGAAGAAGCACAGGTTCACCTCAGTTGTCGTCTTTGCTGAGGTAAGTTTTGTTGACTTGTTGAACTGAGATTGCAGCACGTAGCTCAGGCCCATAGTCTCACAACTGGCAATGCCCCATATGTATGTCGGGGGCACCTTGCATCCTGACCTGTAAACGGGGTGACCTGGGGTTTATGTAAAAGGCAGGGATTGGGTTGAAACCATAATCATCCAGATACTTTTGAGGAAATCCCTCTGGAACAGTGGAAATAGCATAGCATTTGGCCATCAGTCTCTCAGTAATTTCCCAGATTGTGACTGCGTTTGTGCAGCAGGGCGGTCACCCCGCTCCGACCCTGAAGGGGTTAAAACAGCCCTGGGAAAGGGTTGCGCCAGGGAGCGAATCATGGGCTGGCTTGAGGCAGCCAATCAGGGCCTGGCTGGGCCAGTATAAGAAGGGCTCCTGGGGAGAAGGTAGTCAGTCCCTCTCTAGCCTAAGAGGGAGAAGGATCTAGCTGCTTGAGTGAAAAGGGTACCTAGAGCAGGGCACAGGCAAGAGGAGCTCCAGCCTGGTAATTCCCCAGGCTGAGGCCTTGATAAAGCCCTATGTGGGTACTGGGGCTACAGAGGTGCAGCCTGGGAACAGGCAGAGGCAGCTGGTCCTAACCCCTTGCTGATGATGAGTGGCCATTACAGACTGCAGTCTGCCCCAGAGAAAGGGGGCCAGATGATGACTGGCAGTAGCCACTGAGGCAAAGTGGGCTTAGAGGTTCCCCTGGGAGGGGAGACCCAGAGTGTGGGGGTACTGCTGAGGCAGAACACTGAGGTAAAGGGCACTGGGGTCTGGGAGGCAGGTGAGGCACTGGCCAGCAGAGGGTGCTCTGGAGCTGGAGTTGAGCTAATTCCCAAGATGACCAGCAGGAGGTGCTGCACCAGTGCATCCATGATCTGCTACAGTTATCAGATTTCTGTGAGATATCTTGAAAGCTGCTCTCTTTGTTGAGAGGCTGAAGCTCTGAAAGTTAGCCCTGGAGAAGGTAAGCATTAACAGGAGAGCCATTGACAAAGCCCTGGCTGGGATGAATTAGTTGGGGATTGGCCCTGCTTTGAGCAGGGGGTTGGACTAGATGACCTCCTGAGGCTCCTTCCAACCCTGATATTCTATGATTCCCTAGGGTGCACTGTCCCGCATGTGACAGACAGACCCAAATCAGAAGGCCTGGGCTTGGTACTTGAATGTAAGTAATGTCCTTAGGCTAGTTCAGTAAGGAAGTAGAGGTCCCAGGGTGTGGGTCAAGGAGATGCCAATGGGGAGGCAGAGGCCCTGTCATGGCACCAATAGGGTCTAATTTTCACTGTGTGCTTTGGTCATCCACTGTGTGATGGTCCTCTTCTGTAATGGGTGCCATCGGCCTGTTGTAATGGCTCCAACACCACCCTCCTCCCAGCCTGAGGAGAAGAGGGCGTTCCTGAGGGAAAGAGGGCATGGCTGCGGCATCCCCGAGGCTGCTCTACTTTATGCTGGGGGGCCTCCCCAGTGGCCAGATCCCCTCCAAGTTGGTGGGGGTGGTGCACAAAAGCGGCTTTCAGGCACATTCCTACACAGCTGCAGGATCTGCATTGAGCCTAGGATCTGCAGAACCAGATCACAGGCTGGCCCTCAAGTCTGGCAGGTTGGTAGATGCTGCATTGAGCAGTACAGTGACTCGGTATCCTGAGTCAGGAAGCTTTTCTGCTGCTTTGCTGATCAGAGGAGCCTGGTAGGCAAATGAGGCAGGAAGAAGATACACCTGGTTAATACAAAGACACAGATGAAGCCCATATTTCCTGGTTTTTAGTCAAAGAAGATCAGGGCAATATGACTTGACAGTCCTCAGCAAGGACTCATCAGAGAGACCATCAGATATAAAGAGGCAGGAGGTGGGGAATACTGGGTACAACTCCCCAGATACAGTTCCTTAGTCAGGGATCCGAGTGAGGGTGAGACCAGACAGTCAGTCAAAGGAAATACTGGACAGTGCGATGGTTATAATCTAAGCCTAGAGGTGCAGGAATGAGTCCAACAAAGTAAAGCCCCTTCTACCTCTTTGTTCATGTTGGCCTGATCCAAACAAAGCTCATAGAAGTCAGTCTTTCCGTTGTCTTTAAAGGGCTTTGGCCCAGGGCTATAGAGAAGAGAATGTGGTGTTTGAGCCCTACAAAGGACAGAGCAGAGACCATTTCTATCATTAATAGTGTGGTGATTGAACTGGAATAAAGCTAATCCAGGGTTCCCCTTTCTCTGCTGTTGCTAAACTTCTCTTCTCCTTGTTGATCCCCCAACACACAACTGCTGGGCACCACCAAAGTCCACAAACAGGAGAAAAGAGGGAGGAGCAGCATCCACCTGCTAAAATTCATGGGTGAGGATGGACCAAGTAACCTTTGACCTTACCTATCTCATTTATAAAATAAAAACCAGCAGGATCTTATTTAAAGGGGAAAAGGCAAAATGCCACATTTATTGTGACTACAGAAGAATCATAGTAAGCAGTTAGTTATAGCTATAACATTCCATTCAATGTCATATTTATTCACACATTCATTCATATATATTCACACACACACACAGGTTCTGCAAGGTTGTTATCATAGTTACCAGCCTTAGAGTTGCTCGTGCCAAGCCACTGGACAGGTGGCCTGGACAAGAGGAGGGAGCAGGGCTTTCTCAGATGCACATCTGATGCTCCTGGAAGTTGGATTGCAGACCCCAAAGTTCTCAGTTCTAGAGTCCATTTTTATAGGAATTTATTCCTATGCCAGTCTATGGGAATTGCTTCACCATGCTGTTGCTGATTCAGTCAGCAGAAGGCACATTCCTGACAGCTCCGTGCTGCCAGATGTTATCTTGTTCTTCGGTTCTCCCATCCTTGAGGCTGTTGGGTGGATTCCAGTCTGCCCTCTGGGGGGGCCTCTGGTTGTTTCCACTTGACACCTTCTTCGGCTGATGGACACTGGATTCTTAGGCTGGCACCTCCATGATCGTTCCTTTATTATCCACACCAAGCATCCATCCACATACATCCTCCATCTCTATTTTAATCACAATTGTTAACAAAGAGAGAAATACAACAAAAGGGCGGGGAGTCTGTGTGCTGTTTCTGTTGTTACAAAGTATTGCTTTGAGAACAGACTCTGTCTTAGGATGTACTAACGCAATTAGCAGCCAAAAACCAAGAGACCTCCCTCTTAGTTTAAATTCCAGGGTATTACTAATTATGGGGAATCACTCATTTGTGATTTAATACAGAACTTCTTCAATATGATCCAACAACTATGCATTCCTCAGGGGACCCTTATTACATAACAGTACTGTGATTGGCCAGCCCCAGGCTGGCAGGTCAGGCAGGATAAACCCAGAGCACAGCAACCTCTCTCTTCATGATTGAAACGGGCTATTTCTACTAGACTGAGCTGATGCACTAGACTGGGCCATGCCTCCTTCACCTATATTACGCAGCAGTAAGGGTGTGAATCACATAATGAAACAAGGAGATGAAAGCTCCGTAAAGCTAGGGACAAGCTCTCTTTGCCGCCGCCACCACACACACACGTGCACAAAAAAAGCGGGAGGCAGGCCCATGTTAACCATTAAAGCAGCCTGTCGGTTGTCTGGGACAGTCGAGTTTGCAGTGTAGTTCTCCTACAGTCACTCTGTACTCTGGCTTCCATCCCCTCTGAGTCTCCCACCCCAGTCACCATACAGCCCAGGGCGATTCTGAGGAGACCCCTTCTTTCTGAGCAACAGCTTCAGGAAGGACCTGGCTGGCTAGGAAAGCTCAGAGCACTACAGAGCCCGCTGGGGTGAGCAGATGTCCCGATTTAAGGGTCTTTTTCTTATATAGGCTCCTATTATTCCCCCACCCCCATCCCAATTTTTCGCACTTGCTGTCTGGTCACCCTGGAAGCCAGCTGGGCCTTTAAAGTTTTTCAGCCTGTCAGCATATTGGATTCAGACTAATTCTCAGGCTGAATTCTATTTATAACAGATACCTTCCTGTGCTAACTTAACTCCGCTTTGGGGGAGAGTAGAGATCTGTAGGGGGCCGATCTGGGAGACGTATTCTTCCACAGCTGCTACTGTGAGGTTTTGACATCTTCTGACCCATCGGGTGCTGGCCGCTGACAGAGACGGGGTCCTGGACTGGATGGAACTCGGTTTTGAGTCAGTCTGCTGCGGCCTATAGATATTCCTTCACTAGTCAGTACCAGACTCCAAGAACCAGCTCCTTGGATGGCGCAAATTGGCTTCACGCTATGGAAGGCAACGGAGCTCCGCAGATTCACACCAGCTGAGGAGCTAGCCCTGCAGCGTCCGTGACTCAGGACACTGGAGTGTGTTGGCTGAGGCTTTGAAATGATCATGGCAATGAGAGATGGGCTCAGACTGGAAACCCCAAACCCAGCACTGGTGGACTTGGGGACGCTGAGATCTGGATCCAAATCCAGCTGAATGATGTGGCTTGGGGCAGTCGCTGATTACAATAACCCCTGGTGTATAGCTGGGCTGTGTGCGCTGCACACTGGGTTCCCAACTGCAGGATTTGTCTAGTAGCCTTCTTTAAAAAAAAATCTTGAGGTGCAGAAGGACAAGGAAAAATGACACCCTGTCCCAGATCCTGAGCTATTTCTGTGGTACTGGGGTCCCTTTATGAACACAGCAGCCATCTCCATACAGCCGCTAACAACAAAAAAAAAAAGCTTCCATTATGCTTAAATCCTGTCCTTGTCCCTCTTCCATCCTGCTCTGGCCCTTATTACGCAGCTGGCCTTGTCTACACTTAACGTGAGCATGTAGGGTACGGGTAGCTACAGGCGAACGGCTGTGGTGGGGAGGGCAGCCAGGCTCGGCTCGGGGAGCTGCCGCTGCCTCTCCAGTGGGGAAAGGCTCTGGCAGAGGGATCTTTCACTGTGGTGGGGAAAGGCTCTGGCAGAGGGGAAGGGGCAGGATGCTACCCTACTAAATATAGCAGTGTAGGCATGGGAGGCCCTGCATGGGCATGTAAGGTGTGTATCCATAGGGTTCGAGCGTCCCTTTACTCACCTAAGCCGTGCCTCACCATCTACACTGTTTATACCTGTGCTAGCAGGATAGAAATAGCCACAAGTGTAGACTTACCCAAAGCAACCCCCCTCTGTTCCTAGAGTCCTAATTGCCTGCGCTTGAAGAGGCTTGGGGATTGCAAAGGAAGGCAGGGTCCAAATTAACACCCTAGCCCAGCAGCAGCTCCTCTGGTGGGAATTCCTCCTGGACTCACTGCAGGGAAACAAAAAAGGAGGACTTGTGGCACCTTAGAGACTAACAAATTTATTTGAGCATAAGCTTTTGTGAGCTACAGCTCACTTAGGACTCTGTATTGTTTTTCCAAAAAATGAGTGCTCTTTGGGGTAAGGCAGAAACTAGTCATGTAAGCCACTCACCACAGGGTGGTGCTGATGCTTTGCCTCCCCTACTTTTTTCTCCTAGGTCCCTTGGTAGCAGGTCAGATTATGGCCAGCCTCATTGCCCATTGACACAGTGTGAGCAGTAGGGTGACCAGACGGCCCAATTTTATAAAGACAGTCCTGATTTTGGGGTCTTTTTCTTATATAGGCTCCTATTACCCCCTACCCTCATCCTGATTTTTCACACTTGCTGTCTGGTCACCCTAGTGAATATCAAGAGCCCTTCATCCCTGCGGTGGCATGGGCTGTTACGTGTTTGAATGCTTAATCCTTCCTCTACCTATTCCAGTCTGGAAGGGCTGAGGCGCTGTTTCCCAAGGAGCTTGTTCCAGGACGAGCTAGGTAAGTGCAGACATGGGCTGTACACTACAGCTCTAGGTACTCGCCTTAACCCTAGAGGGGCAGGACATGGGGTCCTTTCTGGTGTTTTTAATATGAGTGCAGAGTGTTTAGATGCAAGGTGGATGGATAGAAACAGAGTTTGGAAGATCGATAGCTGAAGATCATTGCTTTTATTGTGTTTTTTTTTTTCCCCCTCTCATAGGAGCCTTTCCAAGCATCACAGACATACGGTCCAGAATTAATATGGCAGAGTTGTTAGTTGCATAATAAAGCTGCTGCTGATTTCCAAGTGTGTGGGGCCTGCTTTCCTCACTGAGCACTAGGCTGCATGTAGCCATGTGACTGAGATGTCGTCCTTCTCTTTTCTGGGCACTCCACCTTTAATTGTAGAAGAATCTTCCTGGCTGCAAGCATGCTGACTAGGATTGCCAGGTGTCTGGTTTTTTTCCAGAACGCCCCCTCGAAAAGGGACCCTGGCAGCTCTGGTCAGCACTGCTGCCTGGGCTGTTTAAAAGTCCAGTCGGTGTGGGGCTGGCAGGCTCCCTACCTGGCTCTGCGCATCTCCCCACAAGCATGACATGTCCCTCAGCTCCTAGAGAGAGGGGCGGACACAGCCCCTATGCGTGGCCCCTGCCCCGAGCGACAGCTCAGCAGCTCCCATTGCCTAGGATCCGCAGCCAATGAGAGCTGCAGGGGCAGCACCTGAGAGCGGTGGCAGTGCACAGAGCCGCCTGGCCGTGCCTCTGCCTAGGAGCCGAGGGACATGTCACCGCTTCCTGGGAGCCGCCTTAGGTAAACACCGCCTGGAGCCCACACTCCAAAACCCCTCCTGCACCCTAACCCCCTGCCACAGCCCTGAGTCCCCCTCCCGCACCCAAACTCCCCCCAGATCCCAACCCGCCCTGAGCCTCCCTGCACCCCAAAACCCTCAGCCCCACCCCAGAGCCCACACCCCCAGCTGGAGCCCTCACCTCCCCTCTGCATTCCAACTGCTGGCCCCAGCCCGCATCCGAACTCTTTCCTGAAGCCTGAACCCCCTCCTGCACTCCAAACCCCTTGTCCCCAGCCCAGAGCCTGCTCCCCCAGCTGGAGCCCTCATCCCCAACCTCCTGCCCCAGCTCAGATCCCCCTCCCACACCTGAACCCCTCAATTCTAGCCCCACCCCAGAACCTGCACCCCCCCCCCCCAGAGCCCATACCGCCTGCCTCAGGCCAGAGCCCTTTCCCACACTCCAAACTGCTCATCCCCACCCCAGAGCCCTCACCCCCTCCCGCACCCCAACCACCTGCCCCAGCCGGTGAAAATAAAGGAGTGGAGTGAGGGTGGGGGAGAGCGAGCGACAGAGGGAGGGGGGAATGGAATGGGCAGGGCAGGGGGAAAGGTACTTCTTCCTCGGGGGTTGCCACTTTTGGTTGCATGTATTCCTGAAGGTTTCATAAAATGACATAATTGTTAATTAAAGATTAATCTTGAATTCCTGGAGACTCCAGGCCAATCCTCGAGGCTTGGCAACCCTACCTGCAACACAAGCTGCCTTCTCTCAAGAAGAAACACCTACTAGCAGTGTGGGGTTTTCTTGCTCCATTTTATCATTGTCTTCATCACAAATCACCCTTTCCTCTGTCCTGTGGGTCATTCGATCGATGCCTCTTCCATGCGCGTCTCTCTCCCTCCATCTCTGTTCCTCGTTCTCTGGTCCTCCCTCCCTTATTCTCTACCCTATCTTCTGCTTTGCCCACCCTTCATTCATTCCCTACCTTGAAATTGGGCCAGGAGAGTGGGGGTAACCTCCCAATTCTGGCAAAAAGTGGTGTGGGTTCTTCAGGAACCACCCCTGGTTGGGATCTCAATTTTACGCCTCCTCCGGCAGGTGGTCCAGCAGCATAGCGCCCCCTAGCCCTACTGGCTCAGTACTGACAGTAGGGGAGCTTCAGCTCCTACAGCCCCAAGCAGTGCAGGCTGGAAGGTTCATAGTTGGCCAGGGGGAAAGCCAAGCAAATCTGAGTGACATTTGATGAGGAGGTAAACAATCATGAGTTAAAAGCTCTTGCAAAAACAAATCCTCAGGTGCCCGCAGATGATAAAAGCCTGAGACACTTGGAAAGATTTATTTTTTTCTGCCCCATGCAGAGGCCACAGGATAAATGATCCACACCTCTGCTTACTTCTCTGTGGGAAAAACACACCCGCTCTGCATTGCTCAAGCCACGGGGTGACTCATGGGAATGCAAACGTTCTCACTGACCTCCTGAGAGCCGCATCAAACACGGAGCCATGGCAGGAAACAAACCTACCAGGCTGTAGGGCACGGCAAGTTCGGCTCTGGACTGTATTTCACCTGCGGGCTGTATTTCACCTGCAACAATACAGGCAGCCCCAGAGGGAGTGCCACCAAAATACCCCCGGTTCAGCTCTGTGTCAACAAGAGCAGCTAAGGACACAGACAATAACAGACCCAGGGGTAGGTTCTTGACACCACTGGTCCCCTAGGGCATAGGTTTCTGGCCCTATGCCCAGAACAATTCAAATCTGTTGTTATTTTAGTGCCCCTCTCTCCACCCGGTTACCTTCTTTAATGCCAATCTGCTGACAGGTTTTGATGGACAGGTCTGGGTTCTTCTGGATCTGGGTGTATCTTCTTTATTTTTCCCTATGAATTTATTTGGCAGTGCCTCCACACTCCTCGCTCCTTCCTGGCAGGGTCACCAGGGCAGCTTGGGAGGAACCACAGGGTAACCCCCACTTACTTGCCAGATAGTTGGAGACTTTCAAGAAATAACACAGACACAATAATTATATTAAACAGGAGACAAATATAACATAACAGGGTAAAACACTATTTTTAGGGTCACCAGTGCCCATGCTGCTAATACCCGTGACTTTTCCCAGTCACGTGACTTGATGTAGGAAATGTAAGATCAGTGTCCCGTTGGTATGCGTACCTTGTTGAGGCCCTTGATGACCTATGGCCACAAAATTCTTCTCTGCAGTGGTTTAGCAGTGTGGCTGACTGCGTTCAGGACTCACAAGTGGGAGAAGGTGGTAAATTCCTCCACAGGTTTAATATGCAGCAGGTTATAAAATCCCCAAACCCTTACTCCCTGGCTTGAGGACACAGATCAGGGAGTAGGGGGTCCCCAAAATGAATTCCCTGACTGACTAAAAGATGGTGCACTCACAAACTCCATGAATGATCCTCAGGTTCAGAGATGACTCTGGACTCCTCAGTCACTGCAGAGGGGCTGATTTCTGCTGGCAGGGATCCTCTTTGGGCAGGAATTAGGCTGCTTTGGTCCCAGGATTTCCCCTCACCACGAAGGGGTGCAGGGCTCAAGGTGCAGATTACACAACTGTACTAAACTTCAAACTGTCGTCTCCTAGCCCAGCGTCCAGACACACTCCCAGCAGGCAGCAGCCCTGGACTAGCAGCCAGAGCAGAGCTGACCATGTGGTGACTGAGCTCACCTAGGGAGCTGGGGGGCAAACTCAGTCTGGCTGGGGAAGTTTCCCAGGAAATGCTACAAACTGGGAGTCATCAGTGGGGAGGGAAAAGCCCAGCTGAGGGATCTGCTGTCAGGTCCCTAGAGGCCAGATCTCAGGGGGAACCCTGCATGCAGGCCTGGGACTCCCCAGCTCCCCACACAGCCAGTCCTGCCCTTGCCCTGGCTGGCTCCAGACTGACTCCAAAATGGCTTCTCCCCTTTTCTCAACTGCCTGGGAGGGCCTCTCACTCCCTATTGCTGGGCGGACTGTGAGTCTGCCTTGGCTCCTCCTCCCTACCAGGGACAGTTTGCCTCTCCCTGAGCTGCCAGCAGACAGAGCCCCAGGAATTTAGGTCATCTCCTTGGGGGGTCACATTATTATTATTTATTTGAATTTCAGTAGGACCTAACAGCCCCAGTCCATTGTGCCAGGTGCTGGATATGTGTTGTTATTTGTATTGCCATACTAGCTAGGAGCCCCAGTCATGGACTAGGCCCCACCTAGCACTAGGTGCTGCACAAAAGACAATCCCTGCATGACAGTCTATCAATGGGATCCATCTTCACCCTGCACACAGTCTCTTCACACAACGCACAGTCAAACTGCGGAACTCCTTGCCAGAGGATGTTGTGAAGGCCAAACAATAACAGGGATCAAAAAAGAACTAGATAAATTCATGGAGGATAGGTCCATCAACGGCTATTAGCCAGGATGGGCACAGGCAGCGATCGTGTCCATAGCCTCGGTTTTGCCAGAAGCTGGGAATGGGCGACAGGGGATGGATCACTTGATGATTTCCTGTTCTGTTCATTATCTCTGGGGCACCTGGCATTGGCCACTGTCGGAAGACAGGATACTGGGCTAGATGGACCTTTGGTCTGACCCAGTATGGCCATTCTTATGTTCTTATGCGAGACTCATTTTGTAACCCAAGGCTGGTTCCCCTAACCTCTCTAGGCTTCAGTTTGCCATCTGTACAATGCAGCTAATAACCCTTCCCTCCTCCTGAGGGGGGGCCGTGAGGCTAACAGGTACAGATGTTTATCAAGCACTCTGAGGACATTGGATCGCTGTCTGCTAAGAAACGCAAAGTCTCCTTAGCTTAGTCATGCAGGAAAGCATTTAGTGATACAGTGGCAAGACAGACCTATTTCTGAATATCTCATGGTGTACAAACACTATCATGGGGGAAATCTGGGAAATTAAAAAGAGACCCAATATGCAGGCCATAAATGAGATAGGTGAAATCACAAGGGACTAAACCTGACCATAGCCCTTGTACCACCACAACGAATACACCCTCCACCAGGGGCCCACTACAGCAATGCAGCTTTCGCTGAGCAGCAGGAGAAGAGACAATAACTGCTACAGACCAGATGCACTAGTGGGAGTGTGTTTATATGAAGCATGAAGGGCCAATAGGTTGAGTTCAGGCCTGGTGGGTGTTCAGGGGGCTAACACTGAGACTGAACGTAGCTCAGTGAGTCCCGTAGTTTGAGTAAAGGCCAGGTGCGAGGAACAGGCAACTTGGATGCCGATAAGCCAACCACTGACCACCTGATTAGGGTTGCCACCATCTGGGGCCGCAGGAAATAACTCTGATTGCGTGTTTGAGACCTCTGGGCTACATTAAGTAACTTCTGGCTTTTTGGATCTTGGTTAGGGTGATTTGTGGTGCCATCTGTTGGCTCAGATGTGTCAGCACAGACATTCTTCTTTTGACTTTTGGTTACAACTGCTATGTTATACTGTCCGGCTATTATATCTACCCGATTATTCCACGTGGTTTTTATACCCGTTTCTTTACTGTGTGCCCTTACATGTCACACCTTTAACTGTTTAGGGTTTTTTGCTACCCACTGGTAAATCTATTTTTATTTTTTTGAATATGCAATTTTTTTTATTTGCTGCTTTTCACCTGTTCCTATACCAATTATGTATCCATATAAATAATAGACACATTATTGAGTACATAGATTACATTTGTATACATTTGGGGGCAGTTAAGTTCCAATAGAAACCCCTTATGTTCTTTTAGGGAATTTGACTAAATTGTTCATAGTCAAATGATTTAAATCAGATTGTCTCCTTGTCTGGCTTATTTACAGACATTCCTTTGGTAAAGGGCCCATTTCTCCTTCAGAATGGCTGCAAAGAAACCAAGAGTTTTCTTTCTATTACACTTTTCCTTTTTAACATTTTTACAACGTTCAACTGCTTAATTCCCTCCAGCCTCTGCAGAGTTAACTTCTCACTCTCTTTCCTTAAATCACTTGCTTATTTCCCAAAATGACACCTTCATCAACTCAGATTTCACCATTCCAAGTATTGTTCCAGGGATCTGAATTCCCCATGCCTGTACTTACTGCTTTCTTTACTCCTGCCACTATGCCCTCAGGACTTCCAACCTGTTTTCCAATTTTTTAAAATTTGTTGCCTGCCTGCTTGTCTGGGCCCGATTCTGCTTTCCTTGCTGAACTGTCCCTTTTCATGGACACAGGCTTTGTTCCACTGCCAATTTAGCAAAGAGGGTGGGCTCCTCAACTAGCCCCCACACCTCCTGGTCCCTTTTCTTAAACATTTTTTTTTAAGTTTTGAAATCACAATATCCCACACTGCTGTATCTGTCAGAGTGAGGTCTTACAGAAATTTACTCCTTATTTGCCCACACTTGTGCTGGGACTTACAAAACACAAAAAGTCTATACCCACTAAAAACTCTGCCTGACAGAGCAGGGGGGGGGACGGGATGCTAAGCCTCTACCTTTTGGGCTTGATCCTGCTATGACCAAGGGTATATTGATCTATGCAATTTTTCCCCGACAGATGGGTAGGAGCAAGGATTCTAATCCTCCCGCTTATGGCCCGGCACCTCTAGGACCTGGGGTGTATATACCTAGACAGTTTGTATACATCTTATTTGTATAGTTTTTTCTGACAGGCGGGTCAAAGCAAGGACTCTAATCCTCCCCCTATAGCCCGGCACTTCTACGACTGGGGGTGTGCACACCTGAATGATCGATCACTTTATAGGTATGGTATACCTTTTAGCAATATTTAGCAGTATGTTCAACAATCACAGTGCATGTCTTCCCCATTTCGCAATTCTCCACCAAAAATGTTATGCTGAAGCACACAGGACCTTTTTCAGGGGAAAAGGCAATGTGCCACGTTTATTGAAGAAACAACAATTAGCATATGCATTCAATCATCCCCCCTACCCCACTCCCCACACACACTGTCCCGCCAGTCGATGTTATAGTTACCAGTTTAGAGTCCAGATCAATCCAGTGGCCAGCTAGGTTGATCACGGATAGGGAGGAGCCAGGTTCCGTCAGTCGCGGCACGATGCTCCGGGGAAGCCTTGGCAGGACAAACCCAAAGTTTCATGGCTAGGCACCCTGTTTATATAGTGCTTTTCCTTTATTGGACCAATGAGTTTTGCACCGTCATGCTGTCATCAATTGTTGTTTGACAAGTGCTTGTTTTCTTAAATTGTCCTTCTTACTTTTTATTTTGTTTTTATTAATTTTTTTAGGGAGTTATCCCAGGCTGGTTTTGGTCACAGATATTTTGTCCCCATTGATAGGTGCCTGTCTCATTTTTAGAGTCGTTAATTTGCCCTCCGCTGACATTTCAATAGGGGCGTGTTGCAAACTCCTGGGACTCCTGCGTCTGTCTTCAGTTCCTTCCTAGAACATCTGGTTCAGCAATGGCCTTCACACTTACCTCTTAACACACACATTTCTTATTTACACACAAAACAGAATTAATTTACACAGAACATTTTGAACAGGAACATCAAGTTGCAATGCAAATGAAAACAATCACGGCATTCTTTTACTTATTTTAAAATGCTAAACCTACAACAAAGTGGTGACCTTAAAACGTCTGTTACTGCCTTGAAATCAGCCCAGACACAGATTCCGGCTGATGCAGCTTTACCAAATGGCCCATTAGGCCCGTCCCTTTCTGCTGTTCAAAAAGGGTGGCTGGCAGGTTACGGTCAAATCGTACACCAATACATTTCATACATGGTACGTTATTATTCTTTATTTTTCATTTTAAATTACACAAAATGCAAACATAAAATCCTACTACTACAACTGTATATCATAGGCCCCATATTGCTAAAAAGTCTCTTTCAGCTACAAATGTAGAAGCCTGTGCTTTTGGAATAGGAGGAACTGAACTATATCTCTGCTGTCCCCAGGAAGTTCTGAGTAGCCAACAACTGTGTGCGTTACGTGGCCATGGATGTATTAAAATGCACAACCATTTACCCAGTACAGGGAACACAGCTTGACTCCCTGTGGCATACAGACCCTCTTGGCCCTCGGCACAGAGATCAGTGGGAGCTGCGTGCGCTCAGCCCCTCTCAAGATGAGCCCCACAGATTTGTTCTCTAGCTGCCGCCCTGAGATTGGGAGGCCTTCCTATTCAGAGGCCCATTAGACTCCAGCCCGCACATGCATAGCAAGAGGCTGACAGGACGTGGAGGGACAAATTAAACAATCCGATTGGCTCATCCACCAGCCATTCATTCTCTGTTCTGCTGACAGGGGCATCTTCACACACTGATGCTGGGTCATAGCACCAACGTTCTGGACTCTAGGTGGAGACAAGAGGTGCCCTCCTCTTGTGCTCCCACCCAGTCCCCGAACTGTGTCATGCTCTGCCCTAGCCAGGTGCCCACTCACTGTTGAGCTGCGTGCACCATGCACCTGAATCTCCGCATCCATTTAGCTACAATCTCATATGGCGTCCAACATCACAATAAATAAGAACTTGCAGCACTCACGTGTATCCCATGCTCCTTTGCATTGGAGCAAAGGATTCTGGGATACACTTAAGACCTTCCATCAGCCTATCCCCATGCCCTTTGGCGTAAACAGAAATGCTCCTTTGGAGGAGGACAAGGTTGGTGGGAACTTCACAACTGACGCAGAGTGATCCAGGACGGGCCTGCTGGAGAGCGTCCAGAGCCGTCACATAACTATTCTGCAGCCTCTAAGATCTGGCACTCTCTGCCTGTGTGCAAGATCAGGCCTACTAGTGCTCCTCGGCACTAAATGTGTCCACGTGGCTGTCTCTTAGCAAGATGGAGCCGCGTGTTGGCCCCTCTGAGAAGAGTCTGACTGGACCAGGGAAAAGGGCTTCTCTTGCTACAGAAGGCAGATGCCGGTAGCTGTGCATGTCCTTGCAGCAGGGTCCCTGTCCTGCTCAGATCATGGACACCCTGTCCTTAATGTATATGTGGTAGGGATCACTCCGCTTGTCCACCTTCCTGGATTTGGTGTACCCCAGAATCAAACTCCCCACCGTGGCGGCAAACAGAATCATCACGAACAAGATGTACATGTAGGAATAGTCGTCTTTGCTGGCTAGCTTGATGTGACTGCCATTCGTCCACCTCGTGGCCTGGTCTGGTGGGCACAGGATGGCACCGTGAAGTGTTTGGTTCAGGGCCTTCAGCAATGAGTGCAGGCTTTGGTACAACGTCTCCGTCAGGTTCCCCACCTCCATGTCCTCGCAACTCCCAGGAAACTTTCTGCCAGGATAAAGGGGGAAAAGTGACTTCAGTCAGGCCTCACTGAAGCACGCTCCCTTCATTGTGCTCTCAGCCTGGGAGGGGCACCAGTGGAAGACCCTGGCTAGACAGACACACAATCAGGCCCTGTCCATCGTGTGCTGGGGCAGCCAGAGAGCAGTCATCCTTGGGGGCCTAACCCCATGTCAGGTAAGCCAGGGTAAATTCTTTGTACTTACACAGCGTCTCCCATCCAAAGAGCGAGACAAAGGGGCCATGTGGTGTTGGCATCCGTCCAGCTGTGGAGACGGACAGGTACAGAGATCCCCAAGGACATACAAGAAGTCACAGATGTCCACAGATGACTTGGTCTACAGCGTGGATAGCCCTCTATCTTTGGCCCATTGGTGGGGTGGGGCGGAGGAGCTGGTTCACAGGGCCCGTCCTGCAGACGGACAGAGGATGAGTCTCCAGGGCTGTCGATCAGGCACCCCTCACCAGCACTATCATTCAGTTAAACTAAACATTAAAACGGGAGAGCTCTCTGGGGCAGGCACCAACTACTTGGTTCTGCGTCTGTACAGTGCCGAGCACAACAGGGCCCTGATCTTACACTGGGGCCCCAGTTTAACCCATGCCATGTGTGGCTCTCTGCCCACCCCAGTGGCTAGACCACAGAGATTTGTGATGGTGCTGCGGCCATTGAGCTAACGGATCTGATCATTTAACTGAAGCAGTAGAGACTGGCGCTTTTCGATTCAGAGCTTCGATCCCAGCAGACAACCTGCCTGGGACACGGTCACGCAAGGCACTGTGGTAATGCAACCAACCAACCAACCAACCACCTGATCAAACCTCCCGAGATTTCAGAAAAGCTTTCGGCCTGCTTAGGGGCTACGCTTTGAGTCTGCTCCGGTTCTAGCTGCTCCCCAGCCTGGAGCTGGTCTCTCCTTCCCAACATATTGCTATTTGTTAAGAAAACCAGAAAGGATGTAAAAGTCAAACTAACCGAACAGTGAATCTGGGGAAAGGTGAGCCCCTGGCGTGAGTGGAGGTGCAGGGAATCCCGGAAATAAAGGAGGCTGAAGGTGTGAACACAGGGGCCTTGCGGGAGGGGAATGGAGGGATGCCAGGAGCGCCTGGTGTGTGCAATACACTCATCCCACAGCAGCACCAAACCGTGCGCCCCTCTAGTTAAACTGTCCCCTAGAAACACTGCAGAGTGGGGCTGCGTTGGGCACTCAAAGCTCGAGCTAGGGAGTTAATCACAGCTAATTGCTAGGGTTTGATCCTCCTTCCAACTGCTGAGTGAGGCCGAACACCCTCAAGTCCCAAGGACTTGTGGGGCATGGAGGATGCTCCCAGGGATCAAGCCCGTTGTATTAATTGGGCCTACAAATGTACCCTCGCTGTGAGCTCAGCTGTAAGGAGTGAACGTTCCTACAACAGCACCACACCTACAGTAATAAATGTTGATGGTGAAAGGTGCAAAGGGACGACACAAAGAGGGAAGGAGTCCAAACAAAAAGGCCTGTTGATATAACTCAGGGACTGTGTTAACACCATGCCTGGTAACCAAGAGAAGGGTTGGACCAAAAATCAATGGACCAAAACTGGTGTGTCGGAAATTAGGTCTAACTGGTGAACAAATTAACGAGGGGAAGGGCTGTTGCACCCATCGCTTCCTTCTGGGGTCCTCAAAAGAAAAAAAAACTTTTTTTTTCCGGGGCAGCGAGGGAGTCAAGAGGATGAAACTGGCTGCCAACAACCACTGGCTGAGAGACTGGAGAACGGGAATGGAGCGAGATTCCCCATCACGGCTGCCACCCCCACCGGTTCCTGGGACCCAGGATCCACCATGACACAGTTGGGCCTTCCTCGTCCTGATTCTCAGCAACGTCCCAACAGGGCCAGGCCAAGAGAAGGACCCAGACTCAGGCCACATCTACTCTACAGACCCGTACTGGCATCACTACGCTGCTCAGGGATGTGAAAATCCACCCCCCCGACTTAGCTCCTCGTGCGGACAGCACTATGTTGATGGGAGAACTCCTCCCGCCAACACCCTCCGCCTCTCGGCGAGGTGGGTTAACTACGCCGCTGGGAGAAACTCTCTTTTTGACGTAGGAGCGTCTTCACGTCAGCGCTACAGGGGCAGCTGGGCCGATGCAGCGTTTTCAGCGTAGAGCTGCCCTCGGTGCTGCTGGTTTTTCTGCCAACACTGGGGCTCCGTGTTCTGGCTGGCCGGGCAGTTGTGTGAGAGCAACGGAAGCCCAAGCAAGCACAGGCCCTTGTGACCAGCAGAGGTCGCACAGACCCACGCCGGTCACTGCTGCTCTGGCCGAGATTCCCCTCCACAACACAAGGTCTGTGCCGGTCAGCTGACCCACACAGGACGGCCTTGCAGCTCAAGCCTAGGACTAGGTCTCAGGAGATCTGGCTTCTATTCCCAGCGCTACCCCAGAATGTCCCAAAGCAAGTCCTGTCGCCGCTCCCTGACTCAGTTTCCCCGTCTGAGACCCAGGGATAACAATACGTCCCTGACACATAGGGGCACGGCGAGGCTCACTAGTGTTTGGGAAGTGCTTAGAGCTCCTTCGGTGGGGTTGGGCCAAATTGAGGTGTGGTGACAGCAGGTCTAACTCCGTCAGTGGAGAGGCTCACAACTGCTCTACTGCTGCATTGCGAGGCAGTAGCTTTGGCTGATTACACCGGGGTGGGGAGGCGGTTATGGCCTCCTTCGGCCACCTGAGGAGTTTCACCCACTCGCACTGATGCTGCGGCCCTTCGTTCCTTCACAGACAAACGGCAGCAGCTGCCCATTGTTCAGCCCCTCACCAAGGCTGAAGGAGAACGTCGTGGTGTGGTTATTAGCCAGAGCCTGGCAATGCCCTCTCTCCTTCCCTCGCATCACTGGTCCCCCATGTGCCAGCACTCAGGGGTCACAAGAGCCGAGGAACGACTGACAGGGGGTGCTCAGCACCTGCATTCGATCAGTACCCGGGCGAAGGAAGGAACCGCTAAGCCCAGGCAGAGGGGGACGCAGACAGTAGAGAAAGGGGAAGATGTCATGCAGCCAGGGCTCCTGGTGCCTTTACTTCTACGGATCACGTTCCCTCTGCTTCCCCTGCCCCGGAGCTCAGCACCATCTGTCCAACATGCATCCATCAGCATCAGTGGGAATTTGTCCTTCTCCCAACCTGGCTAACACTTCAGCTCATACCTTACACACAGAGACAATAAACACAGCTTGGGCTAACCATGCCCTGGCCTTGCAACAGCTGGTCAGCTCCTACTTAAAAGCTGGGTAAAGACATATTCTTGCCAAATAATCCATTTCACTGGATGCCAGAAGCATTTAATGATGGTATTTTATTACGGATCACCTGGAGGGGCTGGCCCAAGGAGGCACTACAGGAATTCACAGGGCCTCATAACGCATTAGCCAACAAGACGAATTACAGAATATTGAAGTCCATTTACAAACACAGCAGTGACATAACAAGCCCCTAATAAGCAGCAACAGGTCAGTCCTGTTAGACACAGAGGCAGGCAAACCCTGGATCTGGATTTTGCATTTGGCTGAGAGGTTCCAGCTGCAAACAGCAGCCCCATTGCTGGAGCAGGAGATTAGGCCTTGGTTTGCCCTTTACTCTGGTCCCATTGCCAAGGAAGGGAACCAAGTTGGCCCATAAGTTGTAAGCATGTGCAGGGCCCCCAAGCCGTCCTTATGCTTAAGGTCCTCTCTGATCAACGCACTCACAGGGAGACACAGCTGTCACTAATTATACTAACGAATGCCCCTGCACTGCCCCTGTGCTGAGGTGACACATCACATCTCTTTTACAAAGCTAGACCCAGGCACAAAGAGGCACTTGCCCCAGGTCAGTGACAGAGCTGGCCACGGCACCCAGGAGCATTACAGTCACACCACCTCGGAGCTGAAACCGGGGTCAGTGTCCTTTGTTTGCCTGGACTCAGCTGCCTTTAGAACCATGCATCCCGCCCTGCCAAGGAACTGCCAGCAGCAGCGCCGGTCAGAGGCGCTCAGCTGAGCCCCCTTGGCGGTCTACAGAATTCAAGAGATCAAGGAGCGAAGCAGCAGGGGAGCAGGAGGGTGTTGCAAGGGGAGATGATCCACTACAGGAAGTTTCACACCCTCTGCATAATGAAGAGGCTGGAGAAACCCTGGCCAGGGGGCTCCTTTCCTAGTTTGGTAGCAAGATCACTGCTTCCTATGGGCTGCTGGCGTGCACCGACCCTGGAGGGAGGGAGCGTTTGCCACAGTACCAGGTTAACCCTTGATCTCTTTTGAAAAGCTCCACGTAAAAGGTCACTTCTCCCTGGCCAGCCTCCAGAGTTGGGCAGAAGAGACTTTGGTTTAACATCTCATCGGAAGCATGCCACCAATAAGGGCTTGTCTACACGGGGAAATTTACTAGCATAATCCTACCTCTACAGTTATACCCATGAGCCATTTTTAAATTACTCCAGCTGGTGAAAGGGGTCATACAGCCCCTTCTGTAGATGGACACTCGCTCCCCACAATAGAGGTAGCCATAGAGCAAGCATCCTTACACCATCCACCTGTAACCCACCCTTATATGGGGTGGCTCTCTGTGCCCCTCAAGCAGCTGGACCACAATGAGGTTTATGAATCGGATACTGGTTTTGAGCTCAGAGGGAGGGGTCTTTTAGATCAGACAGCTGAGGCTCATACATCTAGCTGCAGAGTGTGACGCTGGCTGACCAGGTGCCGGCTCCTGTCAAGGTCCCCAGGCCTCTATGAAACACTGACCAGTACCTAGCTGGATTCAGTCTGGCTCCCCTGTGTGTTATTAGTATTTAGTATGCTTAAAAATGTCCTTCTTTGAATGCTTGCAAGCTGCTGCATGCATTAATCTCACTTATAATGTCTGTATCCAATATTGTATGGTAATATTTAAGCGTTCGTACTAAAAGTCTCCGTGAATCATCAGACAGGAGAGAGAGACATTAACTAGTGTAAAGTGCTGATCTCC